ATCTTGGTTGTGTGCAACCGTGAATGACATAGGGACTTACAGAATTGCAGAGAGGCTGGAAGGCTAGGGAAGGACTCAGGCTTGGAAGACAGGCAGGAAGCAAAGAAAGGCTGGAGGGCTGGGCAGGAGGATCCAGAGCAGAAGCCACGGCACAGGGACCTCCTGGTCTTCATGCTGCAGCTGTTGGGGCCGTGAGTGAGGAGTGTTACCCCAGCTGTTCCCCAGCTTTCACCATCACCCAGGACTCCCAGTCCCAGGACGGATGTGATTGACTGTACATGAGCTGTGTTCCCAGGGGTGGAGAGAGCAGATCTGTCTCCTCTGAATTCTGCAGTGGGAACTAGGTGCTACCTCTCCCTAGATGGCTTGTCATCCGGAGGTAACTGGGGACTCCCTAAAAGGGAGATTAAGTACAAATAGTAGTAGGACTGGGTACTGGATAGTGTCCCTTGAAAAAGAGAATGTCAGCAGTAGCTCTCCCCTTTGCCCAACATTCACCTACACCTTTCTTACCATCCTTACGCTTATGAAAATAAGACGCCCCAGCCAGCATGTTATGTACGGCTCTTCTCTGTATGGCTGAGAGCGTAGCCGAACGCTCTTCAGAGGCCCTATTTTTGGAGAAGATCTCCTTTGTCCACTGTCTTCCATGGCCGCATTTGAGATGAGCATTGGGGAACATTGCTTGGGCAGGGGCTGCAGTGCGTTAGTGGTGTGTTATTGTGGCTCTTAGGAGTTGGAGGTCTTGGGGTTCATTGTCTTAAGGGTTGAGTCTTTGAAAAGTCCTATCAGCCAGCCTTCTGTGGCAGCAGAGGTTCCTTAAAAGCGTTTTTAGGATTTATTTGATTCCATGGACTAGTAGCCAAAATCAGAAATATTGCCAACTCCCAAGGTTTTGACTTCTCTCCTGGCAGTGGCATCTAGCCTTGGATGATCCGCACAGTAGCTTAGGTCTTGGTTTGATAGAATCCACCTGGAAATAGTTAGGAGGTGTAAGAAGCAATAGTGTGGGTGATGCCTCTCTTGTGCTGCATCTTCATGGTGGGAGTGCTGTCCCTTCCTCAGGTCATAGAGGTGACCTACCTGGTGCTCAGGACGAGTCACATTTCCTGCCTCCAGCCAGAGTGACTCTGTTTAGCAGCACCATATATTCTCCGCTCTGGCTTTCAGACAGGCCAGTTTCACAGCAGGCCTATCTTTTTCTTGTAGATCCTTAGGAAGTAGCCAAAATATAATCTAGCATCTGCATTTCTCTTGAATTCTGTAAAGTTGGAGGCACAAGGTCCAAGTCATAAGGCACGAGCAGCCATGGTTGGAATCACTTGTTTTTTTATCTCTGATATCCGAGCTGATCATCTTGCTGGTCCAAGATGGTAGGTCCTCATGCCCTCCACCCTGTGGCCTTAGCTCAGCCAATCCATGCTCCTTAGTGTGTCACTTCTGACATCCCACTTCCTCGTACCAGCTTCGTCTAATAGGTAAGATGTTTTCTGTTGCAAATAATAGAAAATCCAGCTCCAGCAGCTTAGACAATATGGATAATTAATTGGCCTCCGTGTGTGTGTGTGTGTGTGTGTGTGTGTGTGTGTGTTTGTGTAGATTTAAGAGCTGTGGATCAGGTTTCAATTGCAATTTGATCTAGAGGCGTGTGATGTCATTAGGGCTCCTGCACTAATTCTCAGTTTTGTTTCTTTGGTTTTTTTTGCCATGTGTTGCCATCCTCCTCAGACTACCCCCCTCCATGAAAGCAGACCATGGCCATGGCAGTTCCACGTGTCACATCTGTAAATTGTGCCCCTAGAGGTGGATAGAACCTTTGTCCTGATAGAGCAAACCAAAGCCTGAGGTTAGATGACCAGCCCTGAATCAGTTACAGTGGCTGGAAGATGGAAATGTGTCAGTTGGCTTAGTCTAGATGATGTACTACGTTCCTGGCACTTGGGATACAGCTGACTTCCTTAGAAGAACATGGGTTTCCGTGGGGTCTTGGGAAGGGTGAGGAGAGACATATGTGTCCAGTAAGATGTATCCTCGGTGCTTTACGTCCGTGCTCATCAAACTCTCCCATGTGACTTCCTCTTTAGTTTATGGCAACCTTGAGTTAGTGTAAATTCTGAACCAAACCAAGGCTGGATCCAGTAGTCACAGTAGGGCGATCAGTCCATTTGTAGGATGCGAGGAAGGTGCCTCCATGCCCATCTTCTCCGTGTCCATTTTTACCCGGCAAATGAGGGAAGGGGGGTGTCGCTGTTTCCCACCCCAAAGTTCTTAGGTGCTAAAAAAAGGACAAAAACGCAAGAATCCGGAAGTGGAACGAAACTGTGCTTGAGTAACTAAACGAATGTTGGTATCGCCTTTGTAGCTGACATACTTTATTGTTGTGTTCTGATTTGCAAAAGTTGTGTTTTCAGAATTTTTCACTTTTACCAATTCCCTGTAGCTCAGATTTGTTTTGTCCTCTCCACCGCTTTGGGCTGTGAAGTTGGGATAGAAGTGTAAAAATTAGAACCCATACAAACCTGCCTGAAACTTGTATTTGAAATGGTGGTAAAGCAGGTTTAATTACAGAGAAAGATTGCTTAATTATTGTTACCTGCAGCAAAGTCCTTGTCTTTCCATAAATAGACTTTATATACAGCCCCCGGGGCAGAGAGTTCCCTTTCAGCCTCTGCTTAATTTAAATTGCTGGTTTGAGGTGGTTATTTTTGAAACCCTTCTCAGGTTGACTTCCCCCTTAATCCCTAAACCATCTTCCCTCATCTGCCAAATTATATGTAATGCATCGCAGCTAGAGTGCTTTTGGCATTTCATGAGTCTGAGAACTTGAGATTTGATTTAAATGTTAATTTATTGCAACAAAGGTTGGGCACTCACATTCCTATTCCTGTGCACGTCTTTCTATGGACTTGGCACGAGGCCAGAGGCTCTCCCCGGCTCCTGCTGCATCTCCCGGAGAGTGGCAGGTGCCCCCTCTCCCACCTATTTGTTTTAAAACAGAGTCTGGCCTCGTTCAAAATGCGTGAAACCATTCTATTGTTGGGTTTTAGTAATACCCAGGATTATTTATTCTAGGTGTAGTGTGCATGAAATAAAAAAGTACATATTAATAGAAACGGTAACTCTGTTTTCTTCTTTTGAATGTTAAAATGCTCCCTTAGTGGGTTGTCTTTGTTTATGTGAGGCCTTTCCTTTCTGCTTCTTCTCATCTTTCTATTTTGGCTTTTCAGTGCACACTTAAAAATTTTTTTTCTAATAGGGTCAGAAATAAAGGATGTGTTTGTGGATTCATATGAATCATAGTTATTTATAATAAAGAATTATATAATTCTCACCCCTTCCCCGTTCTCTTGAAAATTGCCCAAGTAAATATAATTTCCTTTGCCTCTAGGATACCTACTAGATGTTCTAGACTAGAATAGAAGACGTTTATTTAAATTGTTATCCTACGCAAGCAGACCAACCTTTGTGTAAGATGTAATGTGCCTGGATGGCTCCTTGATGAGAAGAACTAAATGTACTTTTTCCTCAGTATTAGGGACATGAATATATATGAGTATTTACTGGTATCCTGAAGTAGTCTTTAGTATTAGTGTACTGAAAGTATACAAAATTGACTTCTGATTGGAAGCATTTAGAGGGAATGTCTCAGAAGAATGTGGATGTATATCCTGGTTATATTAGAAAAAGTAACATAAAGCACACCCTAATTTCCTATGTTCGTATATTCGAAGGAATTTTCGTAGTCTTGACAAGGATTGCATTTGAGGGCATGGAGAGTTAACCTCCCACTTTGGGGCTGCACCTTTCACATCAGTGGTGAGGGTAGGATGCTGCCTTTGTAGTGTTTCCGCCTGGTAGGCTTTCAGACAGAGCTGGAGGGAAACTGTAGTATTTCTGGTCTATTTATCGCATGTTCATTTGGTTTTTGCTGTTGTAGTGGTGTGTCTGTTGGGATGAGAATGAAGAACATTGAGGTGAGTCTTGGCAGGTTATATGGGCAACCTCTGATTTACAACTGGGTTGTGTTCCTTTATGAGTCAGTGTTGATGCCTGGAATGAAATTCCCCCCCAGAGGTGCAGTGTTAGAAGTGGTGATTGAGTTCTTTAACACAAAATATAATGCACTTTTAAGTAATCATGAGCAAAATTGCTTATGGCTCTGAGCTTCCTTATCGTAAAATGGGGATAACGATACCAGTAACTACCTCATAGAGTTTTTGTGAAGATTAAATGAATGAATGCATGTAAAATTCTTGATAATGGTGTTTGATGTGTAGCAAGTACTCAAGTACTAATATCATCTTAAGACCATTATTTCCTGGGGAAATACATTCTGAATTTCATCATGGAGTACTGAGATGCCATCTTATCGGAAGCAAGTCTATACAGGTTCAAGTCTGACCTTGATATGCAAGGGCTGGTGGAAAGATATGGTTGGGTTCTCTTGCTAGAGTTTTGCAACCTCTGTCTGGGGAGAGAGGTTGGTCTAAAAAGGCATAAACTTCCACTTACAAAATAAAAAAGTCATGAGGATGAAAAATACAACGTAGGGAATATAGTCTGTAATACCATGACTTTATAATAATACTGTAGGAACCTTGTGGTGGGCATTTCATGACGTATATACATATTGAATCACTGTGTTGTACACCTGCAACTAATATAATACTGTATGTCAGCTCTACTTCACTTTAAAAAAAAAGAAAAGAAAAGAAAACAGAGACTGTGGTTTCCCAGTGGCTCCTTCTGTAGGTGGACTTAGCCTGGAATGATGGACTGGGAGGGAGGTTTGAGCATCTGGGGCTTCTAGCGGCTTGGCAGTGGCTGCGGCTGTGTCAGGGGCTTCTGATGGAGGTTGTGGGAAGGGGGGGGTACTGCTTTTGAGAGGCAGAGGAGTGCCATTGGAAACGCCTGCCATTGCACTTCTCCAGTGGTACTAGAAGCTCATCTGAAATAATTTTGCCCATTTAAATGTTCCCTTTTCCCCCTCTTTCCTATAGGAAGAGACAATGGCCAAAATGGAGGTGAAAACGTCACTTCTGGACAATATGATTGGGGTTGGAGATATGGTTCTCCTAGAGCCTCTCAATGAGGACACCTTCATCAACAACCTCAAGAAGCGCTTTGACCATAATGAAATATATGTGAGTATACCCCAAAGGCCACCCGTGGGGTTTAGACTTTAATGTTTTGTGGCAGAGAGCTGGCTTCTCTTCTCCAGACTCTTCTTTTTTCTATTTGTTTATCAGAGTCCAGAGCTATTTGTGTATGCTCTCAGGAAGAGTTTTGTGTTAGCTCATTAGGCACATGAGTAATACCGATTAGTCGAGTGAGTCTGTTTTTCACATGGTGTTTGTAGAGTGCCGACTGTGTGCAGAGCCTTGCCTGGGTGTTGGAGGCATTGTAAAGCAAGGAGAATGCTGAGTTCCTATCCTGTGAGGAACAGGTATTCAGGAGGAGTTTTAAAATTAGGGGCATCGTCTTGGATGCCTTCATAAAATTAGAACTCATTGACTCAATGAGTAGCCCTTCCCTGTCCCCATATCTAACCTCCGAGAAGCTACTCGTTAAAATGCAAGGCAGTGACCTGTCAAAAGAGACATGAACCTTGTTGACATTTGTCCTCAGTAGAGACAGAAGTAGATTATCAGGTAAGAATATCGGTTTGCTCCCTGGAGATTTGGGACTAGTCCTGTCCCTCTACATGGAAGTATTGTGTCATACACAAAAATGAAAAACATATAAAGATAAATGATATTGGGAGAATGTTTATGTTGTAAAAATTCTTTATAAAGGATTTCACATTGTTAGTCTAACTATGTATTCCTTAAATACATGTAAGGAGTAAAGAATACATTCATAGGCAGCTTTTTAGGAATTTGCGTAAAGCCCTGACGTTTGCATCTCTTCAGGTAGAGGTGTGTTGTTAACTAAACCAAGAAAATGCGGTGCTGATTCCCTGTCCCAGCTGCTGAGAAGGAAACTGGATGCAGTGGGCGGAAGTCATTTTACTAGATTCAGCCTCACTCCTGAGTGCTTCCCCCCACCTTTTTATGGCGTATCTGTGTTTGGAGATGAGTTGGATTATTGGGACAAGCTGCATATTTTTCTGTCTGTCAACGTGGGAACAGTAGGAAGAAATATATTTATTTTTTTAAATTTAAATCCAATTTGCCAACATATAGCATAACACCCAGTGCTCATCGTGTCCAGTGCCCCCCCTCAGTGCCCATCACCCAGTCACCCCATCCCCCTGCCCACCGCCCCTTCCACTACCCCTTGTTTGTTTCTCGGAGTCAAGAGTCTCTCTTGGTTTGTCTCCTTCTCTTAATTTTCCCCCCTCAGTTCCCCAGTGGGAGGAAATATAAATAAATAAATAGAGAGCTTTGTAACTGATGCAAGTATGATCAATTATTACTTTTGTGGAACAAATATATTTAAAAAATGATAGGCAAATCTGTATTATTTTATACCATGTACAGTTTTCCTTTCCAGTTAGCCAATTATGTTTCAAGGAAGACTTTGGATAATTAATTTCTTTTTTTAGAGGGGGGAGGGGCAGAGGACAAGGGAGAGAATCTTATTTTTTTTTATAAATTTATTTTTAATTGGTGTTCAATTTGCCAGCATATAGAATAACACCCAGTGCTCATCCCATCAAGTGCCCCCCTCAGTGCCTGTCACCCAGTCACCCCCACCCCCCACCTACCTCCCCTTCTACCCCCCCCCCAGTTCATTTCCCAGAGTTAGGAGTCTCTCATGTTCTGTCTCCCTTTCTGATATTGAGAGAGAGAATCTTAAGCAGGCTCCACGCCCCACATGGAGTCCAACAAGGGGCTCAGTCTCATGACCCTGAGATTATGACCTGAGCCAAAGTCAAGAAGTTGGACCCAGGATAATTAATTTCTTAAGGAAATGGTAGTTATCATCTGGAACTTGAACTTTTTATCTTTCTTGATTTGTGCTGCTGGAAGTAGGGGAGGTTGACAGTCACTTGAGATATGTGGATACTGCTTTTGGAATATTAGTTTAATAACCAGATCCTCAGGTCAGAGATGTAGTTACATAAAATGTTGATTCAAATGGAAAAGGTATAAAATGCTGCTGCAGGGCAGGGAGGAGGTAGCGTCTGGTTTGGCAGTGAGGCCTGGTGTTACCTTCGCGCAGAGCGGAGCAGCTCGGCTTTCAGGTGGGAAAACTGCACGGCTCTGCAGCTTTCATTGAAAGTGTGGTCTGATATCAAATAAAAGACAGACTTTTAAACATTGGTCTTTGAGATGGAGATAGGAAGAATCAGTTCTATCGTAAGTAACGTTGCTGATCGTTTTTCTTTTTGGCTCTAAGAAGCACGGATCACTTTTCAAGGGATTGAAAATAGGCTGGAGAGCAGCACATTACATGCATTCACGTACCTGATTTTTTGTGCCCATTAAAATAAAACAATCCCCTTTCTAACAAAATGCCAAATGTTAATGTTCATGAGTCTTCAGCAGACGAAATGTCTGGGTTTCAGCCCTACATAATTTTATTTTCTCACCATTTGAGGAATGCTCTTTCTGGTATAACAAAAACAAAAGCATGAAATTGCTTTCTGCTTCCAGGTATTCATATCAATTAATGTTTTCCAAGGTACGTTAGGGCTCACATTTTCATGAGATGTGTGCCTTCATTTTGTAACTAAATGTACTTGCAACATACTGGAGGGTTGGGCATTCTCTACCTTAAGCACAAAAAAAGAAAAGAAAAACTTATATAGAGGTGTGTATAGTATGATCCTTTTTTTAATGGGGATTTATGGATGTGCACATGTGTTTGTATACTTGTGTGCACGTAGAGAAAGGCATGCTAACTTTAGGCACCACAGCACAGTGGAATGAGATATGGGGACAGGGAAGGGCTACTCTTTTAGATCTCTGTATTCTAGAACTCATTGAGTCAAGCATGTATTTTTTTAAAGATTTTTATTTATTTATTCATGAGAGATACACAGAGAGAGGCAGAGACACAGGCAGAGGGAGAAGCAGGCTCCATGCAGGGAGCCTGATGTGGAACTCGATCCCGGGACCCCGGGATCATGCCCTGAGCCAAAGGCAGACGCTTGACCACTGAGCCACTCAGGCATCCCGCATGTATTGTTTTTGCTAATTAAAAGAAAATACCGTGCAACAAATTTGATTACTACACCTCTGCAACCCCCTATGTCCTGTATACCACCCTTGAGAAATCTGCTCCTGGCTCTTCTTCTGATAATATTCCTGCTTTGGTTTTGTTCATAGGTTGCTGTGGAATTATTTAGCCTGATGCCAGAGGCCATGCAGTTTTTTAGTACTTCACCTTGTTTTTAAATTCTTTCCCAGACAATGAAAGTGCAGGTTTTTTTTTTGAAAATCTCTTTTGTAGTCTTAGAGTTTTATCCTGCAAAAGTGGGCGATAGTCTACGATGATCCATCACGTGAACAAACTGAACAGTCATTTGTATGTCCAGAAGCCATGGTTGATAAGGGGACCAGTGAATGGAAGGACCTTGGCATGGACTTGTGAATCCTGGCTATCCCTAGAGACTTGGCAGTGTCCTTTGTGAAGGACACTGCTCAGGGTCGGGGGCCCTCTTCTTCCATCCTGCCATCTATCCACTTGCCTCCATACCCTCAGGATCTGAAGAAATAGTCCCTGCCTTCACAGAGCCCTCACAAGGGGACTGGTTTGCCTCTAGATAATGAGTTATCAACTTTCCAGAGCATTCATAACTGTTAGTGATTTTCTGGATCTCTAGCCAGCTGACTTTGGAAGTAGAATTCCTTGTGATAATAAACTGGAAGCTCTGGGTAGACCACTTGATTCATCGCATACCCCTGAACCACTGACTGTGGCCTGGGGACCAGAATGAACTGGGTGGCTTAAGAAACTGATGTCCAACCCCAGGATTGGGATAGGGTCAGTTTTCTTCCAGAGTAGATGGATTGTATGTAAGTAGGTGAATATCCAACCAGGTCTATTGATTAACATGTTAGGAAAAGGAGAGAAAGAAGGAGAAATTAATGCTGATGAGGTCACTGCTGTAAACCCATCACATGCTGGGTAGGGAGTTTGTGATGAAGTGGCTTTGTGGATGTTGATACCTAGAGGGTGTGCCCCATGGGAAGCATTCATCATTTGAGGTGTAGACTTCAGGAGCACCCAAAGGCATGCTTCTCGGACTTCCTTCTGAAGAACTTCTAATGGCAAGAAGAGTAACCAGGTGCCGCAGGGACTCTGGAAACATAGTTGAAGTCCATCCACTTCAGAGAAATTCTGTTGAAATATTTGCTTCCAAAGTAATAGGGTTTTATTTCTGTTCTGCAATGCATATGGGTTTGTTTTTGTCGAATATGTTCCTTGAAACCTTTTGAGTAATAAGTATTTTTGGTACTGACAAGTACATTTAGTTTGTTTCCTATCTGAAGTGTCAGATCACGGATCATCCAGATATGGAGGGCTGAATCAGTTTAATTTTAGGATCTTAAGCTAAACCGGTTGTGAGTGAGACTGCTTTGAAAGTCTAGTAAAAACTCTTAATTTTTAGCAGTTAGTACTAGGATTGGGATCTCTGTAAAGATAGAATCAGAGGCTTTTATGAGAGATACTCAAGTGCACGAGGAATATCCCATTTTGCTTTGAGGTGGATTAACGCACCGAAGCCCTGAGTTGGTTCGTCATCCTATTTGTGGCCAGGCAGAGAGTCTCTAAACCCGGGGAAGTTCCAGACGATGTGGTCTTTGCAGGAAGAGCTGTTCAGTTCAGCTGTTCAGGAGGATCAGGTGAGAGTAGATAGAGGGAATGTTGACCTGATGGGGTGACATGGAGGGTCAGAGACTCTGTTTGCTTTTATTCCTCCCTCTTGGCGGTGGTTCCGGCTGGGACAAGTTGCAGGACGTGCCTTTCTGTCCAGCAGTGTGTGTGGGGTCAGTGTTGGGAAATGGTTGGTTGTGACACGACTGAGCCCTGCTCTTCTGTATTCATTCCGCCTTTGTCAGACCTTCTTCTGGCCTCCCCACCCCACCTCTCGGCCAGACGGAATGGTGGCAGGATTGCACGTGGATTGTACTGCCGGAGACCCACCCAGACAGGATTCTGTTTTTAGGGTGACTGGTCAGGACTGTGGTTC